TTAGGGGTACAAATCCACCACAGTAGCTCGTGGAATTTAAACTCAGTTCATAAATCAGGAATTGAAAGTTATCCTCAGACCATGACAACTATCACTGATTGCTGTAAAAACCTATCCCTTTCTTTTAGGGAAGGAAATTGGCCATCCTTGCCCAGTCTGGCCTATGTGTGACTCCACATCCACAGCAATATGGTTGACTCCTAACTGTCTTCTGAAATGGCTGAGTGAGACACTTAGTTCAAGGGTAATTAGGGATGAGCAATAAATGCTAGCAAGGATATATATTTTAAATCACCTCAATAATGTAAATGTAGGAAAAGAAGTGGACTATTTAACCCACTTGAGCCTGTTCAGCCAGTCATTGAAATCATGGTTGATCTGAAATTTAACTGCCTTTGCTCCATGTTCCTTAATATATTTGGTTAATAAACATTAACAATTGACCAATTAAATATCAATTATCATTTTAAAACTTTTTTCTACCTTGCACACAAGTAGACCTGGTAATAATTTTCTGCTGAGAATTTAAGGAGTTAGGGACCAAATTAAAGCACAGAACTCAAAGGTAATAATCTCTAGAGTCATAGAGCACAGAACTTCGGTCCAACCAGTCCATGCCAACCATAATCCCGAACTAAACTAGTCCCACCTGCCTGCGCTTGGCCCATATCTCTCCAATCATTTATTGGTCATGTACTTATCTAAATGCCTTTTAAACACTGTAACTGTACCCACATCCACCCCTTCCTCTGGAAGTTCATTCCATTCATGAACCACTCTGTGTAAAACAAAAAAATTGCCCCTCATGTCTTTTTTAAATTTATCTCCTCTCACCTTAAAAATATGCCCACTAGTCTTGAAATCCCCCACCCTAGGGAGAAGATACTTGCCATTCACCTTATCTGTACCCTTCAGGATTTTATAAACCTCTGTAAGGTCACCCCTCAACTTCCTACGTTCCAGTGAAAAAAGTCCCAGCCTAACCAGCCTCTCCTTATAACTCCATTCCCAGTGATATCCTGGTAAATCTCTTCTGAAGCCTCTCCAGCTTAATAATATCCTTCCTATAACACGGAACCAGAATGGACACAGTACTCCAAAAGCTTCACCCATGTCCTGTACAACCTCAACAAAACGTCCCAACTCCTGTACTCAAAGGTCTGAGGCAATAAAGGCAAACGTGCTAAACACCTTCTTAACCACCCTGTCTATATGTACCTGAAACCCTAGGTCTCTCTGTTCTACAACACTACCCAAGGTCCTACTTTAACTGTATTAAGTCCTGCCCTTGATTGTTTTACCAAAATGCAATACCTCACATTTATCCAAATTAAACTCCATCTCCCACTCCTCAGCCCATTGACCCAATTGATCAAGATCTCTTTGTAATCTTAGTTAACTTTCTTCACTGTCCACAGTACCACAAATTTTGGTGTCATCTGCAAACTTACTAACCATGCCTTCTGAGCTATGCACCAAATGACGGTGTCAAGCACATTAGAGAATTAAAACAGAAGTCCTACAGTCTATGGTTCTACGGTCTACGCTTTGTTTCCCCAATGTAGAGGAGACACTTCACCTGCACTTCCCAGAATCTAGTCTACTGTATGCACTTCCCAGAATCTAGTCTACTGTATTCACTGCTCACAATGTGGTCTCCTCTACATTGGGGGAACAAAGCGTAGACTGAGTGACCGCTTCACAGAACATCTACGTTCTGCTCGCAAAAAAGACCCTGAGCTACCTGTTGCCTGTCACTTTAACACACCACCCTGTTCCCTGGCCAACATCTCTGTCTCTGGTTTGCTGCAGTGTTCCAGCGAAGCTTAACACAAGTTGGAAGAACAACACCTCATTTTCTGCTTGGGGACCCTGCAGCCCTCCGGACTCAATATTGAGTTCAATAATTTTAGGGCCTAAGCTCTCCCATGTCCTAGCCTCTACCCCACACACCAGGCCTTGTTACCACATAGCCTGCCATCACATACCACCATTACATAGTCACTAACAGTCTCCATTAACAACTCTTCACCCTCCTAGCCAGATTGTTATCAACTCCTTTGTCCATCCAACTGTTCTTCTCTCCCTTTGGGCTCTGTCCTATTGTTTACTCCCTACCCCATCCCCCTCCCCCTCCCTATTTTCTGCATATAAACTGACGTTTTCCCAGCTACCATCAGTTCTGAGGAAGGGTCACTGGACCCAAAACGTTAACTGTGATTTTTTTCTTCACAGATGCTGCCAGACCTGCTGAGCTTTCCAGCAACTTCTGCTTTTGTTCCTGATTTACAGTATCTGCAGTTCTTTCGGTTTTTACATTAGAGAATAAAATGTGTGGCTCAAGGAGTGGTGCGGGAAGAAGAGATTTTGATTCCTTTACATTAACAGGCAAGGAAAGAGGCTCAGGTGGAGAGAAATTTAGAACTCTAAACAGAAATGACAAGGAAATAGAGCAGTGTAGTGTTTTAGGTAAAGGACAATACCACCTACAAGTTCTCTTTGAAACCACGCACCATCCTGACTTGGAAATATATTGCTTTTCCTTCAGCGTTGCTGAGTCAAAATCCTGGAACTCCCTCTCTAGCAGCACTGTGGGCCCCCTCTATGCCACCCTGACTGCAGCAGTTCAAGAAGACAGCTTGCGCCATCTTCTGCAGGGCAGCTAGGGATGGGCTGTAAATGCTGGCCTTGCCAACAACACCCACATCCAACGAATGAATAAGTGGGACAGTAAGGGACAGAGAATATAATAGTAGTAATACAAAATCAGACAATGGTCTGTGCCAGAAATAATTATGGAAAATAATTAAAGACTCTATGTGAATGCAGGGGTGGAGGGGTCTGTCAATTAGCTCAGTTGGCTGGATGGCTGATTTGCAACACAGAATGACACCAACCACATGGGTTCAATTCCCACCCTTGCTAATGTCACCATGAAGGTCCCATCTGCAGTGACTTTACCTTTACCTTTACCTGAGAATAAATTATAGAATACCCACAAGGAGGCCATTTGGCTCATTACATCTGCACGGAAACTCCAAAAGCAACCCATCCTATCCCTGTGGCCCCTGCACTTACCACATCTAAGCCACCTAGTCTGTGCATCTGTGGACACTATAGGGTAATTTAGCACAGCCAATCCACCTAATCTGCATATCTTTGGACTGTGGGAAGAAACCAGAGTACCCAGCAGAAACCCACTCAGACATAGGTAAAACATGCAAACTCCACCCAGAGAGTCACCTAAGGTTGGAATTGATCCCTGACACTAACCACTGAGCCACTGTACCTCCCTATAGGTAAAAGAGGCTTATAATGTTGTATAGTATGAAGCCTGAGGATTCAGCATGTTTTAGATACCTGCAAAGAGTGACCAAAAAAGTTGATAGCCAGGGTAACAGTATAATATTTAGCCAAGAATATAGCAGGTTTTAAGAGCTTTTTTAGTGTATAAAAGAGACTTGCTGAAGTGACTGTTGATTCCTCAGAGGCAAAAACAAATTGCATATGTAGGAGAAAATAGGGGAACCACAGGGCTAGTATGAATGTTAGATTTTTGGATTCAAAACCACACAGTTACCTAATATTGAGATAACAAGGTGTAGAGCTGGATGAACACAGCAGGCCAAGCAGCATTAGAGGAGCAGGAAAGCTGACGTTTCAGGCCTAGACCCTTCAGAAATTTCTGAAGAAGGGTCTAGGCCCGAAAAGTCAGCTTTC